GTTTTGTGTTGATATTAGAAAATTATTCCTTGATCTGTATTCTTGGTATTCCATGCTCGTTACTATGCATAAAATTCTTGTACACAGCGCGGAAGTTATAAAGTCTTTTCTTCTTCCCATTGGACAACTCTCCGAAGAAGCCCAGGAGGCAAGAAATAAACTGTCGTAGATTCCGTGAACGGCACACGAGGAAGCGGTCACGTATTGCCACAAATACAGATCTTTTGAGAATGCTTTTAATTACGTCTGATCCTGTTATCAACTCGTATAGAGAATTACCACGAAGAAAATTTACTTCTTTGCCATCGGAGGTTCTGCAGTTGATTATCCCACCTTCATTGCCTTCCGAAACACCATCAGTAACTCATCATCACGAATTAAATTAGGAGGATTATTTACTCTCTGAATATTCTACTGAATGGGAGAGCGGTGATGACGACTCATCTGATGGTGATTAGTAGGTTTAAGTATTTTTTTATTGTAATTTTTATTCTTATTTTATTGTGTGTTGTAGTTGCTTATAATTCATGCCTTAGTAGGTATATAAGTTATTTAATAATATATTTATTTTACTTATACACCTTGTTATTATAAATAATTGACATATAAAAACTGTTATAGTACTAATTTATTTTAAATGAAATAATATTTTCTAAATTACTATCATTGGGTAGGTACTATCATTATGATCTTTATTTTTCCCTAGAAATTTCTTTGTGAACAAACATGATTGTGCTTTAGACGTAGCTAATTAAAGAACAATTAGCGACAATAGTGAACAAATGAGACACATTAGTAAACCACTTCCGTCTTGAAGCTACATATTTCGATCAATACACATACAGTACACATTTTTCAACTTTTGTTTCTTAAAATAACTTTAGATACAACAATTGAAAAAAGTGAAGAAAAAATATTGTCCCGCTAGCATGTACTAGTCGAGACACTGTGCTTCGTGGCGACCGCTCAAACCATCATACACGCCATTAGTGCCGTCATCATAAGTGCAGTTTCATTATTGATAAATTGAATACAAAAAAAACTTTCTATGATGACAAGCATAATAATACTATGTTTTTATATTAAGTTAAACAAAAATCTTATGATTTAAAGTAGGTATTAAAATTCAAGTAATAAATTAAAAACCACCGTCAATACCGCGGGAGAGCCATGTCTTAACACGTCCCGCCCAGAGTCAGGGAAAGGGTTTGGGCTCTGGTAACTAAAGTCACTCAGTAAAAAGAGCAACGAAAAGTAGCTTAACACCGGTTTTCTGTGAGGCCGTGCTATCATTGCGGTCGAGCCTGGCCCATACGTGATGAAGAATTAAGCATAAGTTGCATATGGTCATAGTCGTAGAATAGTGTCGAATCTGACATTTATTGAACTTTACAGGGTAGCCATCTATACAAATAAATAAAATTGAAGTGTCTGTTTGTAATGTCCAAATAATAGGTTTTTTCATGCGTACACGGTTATTTGCACGATACCTATGCCTTAAAACCAGTTTAAATATTTTTTGTCTGTCTGTCTGTTTGTTCCGGGTAATCTTCAAAACGGCTGTACCGATTTTGATAATATTTTACTACCAAGTAACTGTCTATATAAGGAGTAACTTAGGCTATTATTTCTCTCAGAAAACCCCTATAAAATTTTGCCTGGTCCGGGAATCGAACTCACTAAGGCAACGCTTTTCAAATTACACGCGAACAAAGTCGCGGGCACCAGAAAAATAGGGTTTGCTTTAAAATGCAATAAAAATAACAACTATTAATTACACAACTTTCTAGAAAAATCACATTCTTCATTTTATTTTGAACGCCTGACATACCTCCATGTTCACTTGGTGCTCCTCTCGCCCCTTTTGGGCACGCGCGCTCCGCAGCGCGTCTCGCCGCCACCCCGGCCTGCTTCTGCCAGGGTGACAGAGGGCCTCACCTGTCACCCCCAGGACTGCGCCTATGGAGGACGGAGGTCGTTCTGCGACCTCCGGCGCCCGAGTCGTCTGCGGTACTTGGCCCGTTCCCGGGCCTGGCGGGCCGGGAGAGTTCTAAACCTCTCTCCGGTCCCGCTCGGCCATCTCCTTCGCAAGCATAACTTGCTCGCAAAAGGAGACGGCGGAGTTCCACGCACTCTCGCTCCGTACCATGGCGGTAATCATACTACCGAGCGAGAGGACTCCCACTCCGATGGCCACCACGAGGTCACGCCTCTGCTCCACCCACGCCGGGCATTCTGCCAACGTGTGGAGGGCCGTGTCCACGGTCCGGCCATCGCAGTGGTGGCACTCAGGCTCATGCGGATCAGATGCAGGTGATCTCCGAAACAACCTTTCCCGGTGATCACCTGCGTCAGCCGGTATGAAATGGTTCCGTGACACCTCTCGAGCCAATCCTCCATAAAGGGTCTTACCGCCGCAATAACGACGTGCCCGGCGCTGGGTTGCCCAAGTCGTTCCTTCCACTCCTCTACGAAAAAAAAATCCCGAGGGTACAAATGTACGTACAAACTTCGATAGTCTTCTTTAAACCGACTTTTAATCGGAGGAGGTTCTATGTTCCATATGTTCGATGGAGGTTCTATGTTCTATATTTTTAATGTATGTTTACCGAGTACTCCGTCAATAGTGGCATGATTGTCTAAATTCTTTTTTTAATTGAAAGGATATAATCCTGAGGTATTCCCATCGTCACGAAGTCAGGTTCTGATGATGGGATCCCAGGGATATCGAGGGCAACCCGCAAATTATATAGGCACATATTATAATAATGTTTTATATATTTTTGTTCATCAACTTTTTACAATACAATTTCAAGTAATGCTAAAAGTTAATCATATCATAATGAAACATACGCCACTTAATGAAAAAAGGGGATTTCAGTACGACGTGAAACAATTTTTTAAAGTACTAAATTATTATTAGGCGACTTCCAAACACCTTTTTAAAAACTTTAGAACCTTGAAATATATTTATGTTGGTATATACTTCTTTTACATTAAAGGGATTGCCATTTAAAACTTGAAATTGCCCAGATCGAAATTGGTTAAAAGTTCCTAAAACATCCCGCTCATAAATATATCCACCCTTAGGACGACAAGAAAACTTTGTAATCGAAAAAAGTAATTGTAGAAAGTGCAAGAAGAAAAAGCGACTTTTAGCAACATAATTGTAGTTTTTTTTAAAGCAAATCATTCATTATTTTCATTTACTTCGATAGATGAAACTATATATACCTACCTCTATGTATCAAGATGATTGAATAAAATAAATAGTATACCGAATTCCCATGTTTATGAACTTTTTACTTATATTAAGACCTTCTATTAAAAACAATAACGATTGTTCGTTATGGAACCTAAAACACCCACCGAAACTTTTATTCACGTAATGTTTTTATCCAGAACGCTGTTATGAAATTCGAGGAAAAATTTAATAAAAGCTGTTCCTGGATGGAAGGGATTTTAGGCGCAGTATGGCATCGGTTCTATTCCGACATACGAATCGTTAACACACGAACAAAAAAAAGAGCGTGTGGAAGAGTGACCAGACTGGATTTTCTAGTACTTTTTCATTAGATGAAGACAGTGTTTAGCGATTATCTTAATTCTAAATGGGGCCGAGCCAGTCAGTTTTGGAGATTAACAAGCAAGCAATTAACGTAGGAAGCTACAATGATCGCATTCATAGTTTATAGAAAATGGGAGCATAGAATATTCTACATTTAGAATGACTTATTTACTAGATGTTATTTAATACCCGTAATATGATAAATGTTTATAGCTAAATAAATATTTTCTTTCTGTTTTATTAAAATAATCTTCTATTGACGTATGTGAAGATAAACAAAGTATGTGATCGTCACTTCAACGATGAGGGTAAATATATTGTGCTTTATCTTATTAAATCTATCAAAATCTATGGTAATCTAAAACCTCGCTAAAACTTTTACGGCTGTTTATGTAGGTTATACAGTTTGTCAAGGGACGACAGAAGAATCACATACATTTATGTTGTTCAAACAAATTAAAATATAGGTACAAAGTTAAAATAGAAGGAATTGGGAACAGAATGAAAATTTATAGTATCAAAATAGTGTTGATTGCATAACGATAAAAAATCGTTAATATTTTCGTTCAGACGGAAAATACCTTTTATTTAACTTAAATATTGATAGATACTTAAAGATCATATTTCTTACAGAGAAGGCTGCTATTTGTAAACCTATATATACCTAAACAAATACATACCTAAACCGACAAAACCGATAAAATATACCTCCCTACATAAAAATTAATAATGCGTATTCATGTCTGATACATAAATGATAGCACAGTCTGCCAAAAGATTAGTGGATATCAAAACATCATGAAAAATAAACCAAAAGTAGAACACAAATCTTTATTTAAATTAAATGAAACATCTACAAAAAACTACAACACTTACGCCTTCCCATTTAGCTCGGTAACAGTGCTGTACTAACTGTTATCTATATACTACAATAGTAATGGTATCACTATAATTATGATTATAGTGTATTCCAAATTAATTAATGTTGCCATGCTTATTTGCTACATATTTAAGTGTTTACAATCGCTTTTATTATTACTTCTGTAGGTATGTACACGTGAGTGATTGCTATATTTAGCCTCACTTAAAATGAGACATATCCTACGACAGAATTAGCACCAATGGTGCTAAATTTTATGTTATTTTAAATAATGGTGCTAATTCTGTTGTTCGAAAACTCTCTAAACTAAACTAAAAATCACTAAACAAAAGTGTAGTCCTGTCAAATATTACGTTTTCAGAATAGGAAACGTTGTTTTCAAACAACAGAATTAGCATTATTATTTAAAATAAACGGAAGGTATTTTGACGTTTACGTTACAACAATTTAACGAACTTCGTTACCCCAAGAATATTTTGAACCATTAATTTAACAAGAAAATACTTTATTTTTATATTCTTAAAACTATGTTATGCTTATTTATAAAAACGTTCAAAACATAGATGCAATAACACACGTTGGCTGGTAATATCCATCTGACCCCGTTGAGTGCCGCTGTGACAAGTGGATGTCTTCTAACTCCATCACTCCGAAATCAAAGTCAGCAAACTTCTCAAGAACGAGGGAACCGTCAAAAGTCACTCTTGGTTTCCTTATATTTCTAGACGACCCTGAGTCTTCAACATTCGTACCGGAAGTACGATTTCCATATTTTGAATTCATTAAAGTGACATGTAGTTTCACGTTATCTCTTCCATGCTCCCGGTTCATGTAACCTGTAAATTTTAAACTTATTAGCAAAATATCTAAGGTCGAAATTCAGCAATAGGTATGTTAGTGTGCGTAATTTTAACAATTGCACATGTTAATTAAAAAGTTGTTATAAAATCTAAATATCAAAAAATTACGATTACCGTCAAGTGTCTCACAATTTTAAAATAAACTAAATTTAGTTTAACCCTTACACCTTGCCGAGTAAAAAGTTAATAAGTCTTTTTCTGTAACCTTTGTTAATATTGTTTGTTTAGGAATTAATAAATTCCAATTAACAAGCAGAACATAACATTTATAATTTTAAACTTCTGGTAAAATTCACAAGTTTGCAGAAAATGGATGGCCATTGTGACTTTTAATAACTATATTTCCATTAGATACCGTACTCAACGCAATGGGTTAAACAATCTAGACAAGAAAAATACAGATCAATGTTTTTCTTATTATTTTTAAGTGTGATTAATTGCTTCAAAAGATCTTTTATTTCATGATCTTTATTATGGCCCTAAACCTGTTAAAAATAAACCTTCTTTTTTTATCGTACTTTAATCAAAGACAATAACAAAAGCAAGGATATTCTGCTTTTTAAAGTACAAACTATACTAACCTGCTTTACTAAAATAATCAACTAATCCATCAGCAAGTTCTTGAATTAACCCCTTGGCGCTACTCTCTTCTTGAACTGTTCCATATAACACGTCTATTTGTGAAGGATCATCATTCATATAAGAAATACCTTTCATTCTAATTTTCAGTGGCAAATGTCCTTTCAGTAATGGTCTGTAACAAAGAACAAAAGCTTCAGCAAAATATGTCTTGACTGGAGTAAAATGTAACATTTACCCAGATTATACAAAGATTATATTAAAAAAAAAACACCGCCTAAAAGTTAGGCTGTACAATGGCTCACAAATTGCAAATTGTAATTGAAATTTACGATATTTTAACATATAGGTGATATAATTCTAAAGATTGTGGAAAGAATGTACAAGGTACTGAATCTGTCGCGTAAGGCGTTGGTGTATCAATTTTTCTAATAAAATACGTCTAGTATAGTTTTTTACCCAACAACTTTATCTTTGGCCTCAGTGAATAACTTCGAGGCAATTACTCTCTCTTCATTGTCCATCAAACACATCACACCTATCGTGAGATGCAGTTTCTGTGATTCTATAAAGAGGGATTCGTCTAACCCTTTACTTCCAGCACATTCACGTAGTACAAGGGCCTGTGAAAAAAATAATACTAGTAAGGTGACATAATTTAACACCACCGTGATAAGGCCAGTAACATTGTTTTCGATAAACAAATACAAGTAACCACTTTTCTATGACACCGGTATTTTTTGATAACACAATTAGCTGTAAACAAAAATACTATCCAAAAGACATAGTTATTTAGTGCAAGTGATAAGAAATACTGACGTAAATGATGAATAATCAGCTTGGATCAAGAATTGTTGATACGATTTGGCATACACATACATATACGAAGCTTAAATTAGACATAATATATGACTCTAAAGTATGGCTGCCACAACTACTGAATCACCGACCGGGGCATTTAGGAACAGATAAGGGTTAACCATGTCAAAAGTTCGATGAATATAAAACTTTATAGAGACTGCACGGATAACGCAGTGGTTTAAGCGGTCATTTCACCGCTTCCTACTGGGCGAGTGTTATGGGTTCGATCCCACATCGTACAACACTTTGTGTGATCCACAGATTGTTGTTCTGAGTCTATGTGTTCTTTGTGGCCGTGTCATGAATGTTTGTAAAGTTACCAACGAGACAGGATGTATTCTTTTTGGCGGAAGTCACACATCTTCGGGATAAAGATTATAGACAAGCACGGCGGTTTTATGGCAATTAGCTTAGATATCGCCAAAGCTTTCGATATATCAAATTGTTTCTCTCCAATTTCCCGGCTTTAGGTTTATCTATTCTATTGTGCAGCTAGCCGGTTTCTTACAAGAATACAACATTCGAGTCCTCAGTGAAGGTCGAGAATCGGAGGTCTTGCAAGTACTGCAACACATTAGGTGTGCGAAAGAAGGTAGGTGTTAGAACGGAGCCCTAAGGTACTCCCTCAGGGCTCTGTTCTAACACCCACCTTCTTTCTTCTGCACTGATATGTTATACAGATAATAGCACCACCATGGTTGGTATAACAGATAAAACTGAACGATATCGAGGAAAAACGACGGGCACCATGTCACGGAACTCGACTGAGACCTGAATCACATTTCTCAATGGGATCACCCTGGTCACGGTGTGCAACAGGTTTGCTCATTTAGGTATCCCCCTTTTTAACCTTTTTTTTAACCTATCCCCACTCTTCTAAATAACACACCACCACTGCAGGATAATCTCGATGCACTCGACATGGCTCCGCTTTACAAACTGTCCTATAAAGACTACAAATAGAGCGTCATCAAACCGTCTCACGTAAACTCGGTGTCCTGAACAAAGCGAGGTAGTTTTTTACGCTGGAGCAGCGGTGTCGTTTGTACAAAACACAAATTCGTCCCTGTGCGTGGAATAGTGTTTACAGTACCAGTACCTTGCCTAGACCTAGACCTTACCTAGACGCCCTCGACAGTTTGTAGCAGCGTGCCATACGTAGCATTGGTATTCCTGAGATAACAAACTCAAAATAGAGCCACTACAGTTACGTCGAAGCGTAGCCTCCTTGGCAGTATTTTGCTGCCTCTACGACAGCGAGTGTTCCAAAGAGCTAGACCAACTACTCTCCCTTTTTATCCAGCACAAGCCGAGCCATCGCATACGACTCGTACATATAGTGTAAGTTCTAAACCGGGACATATTTCTTATTCACCGGGTCACATGTCCCGGTGTATCGGGACGTATGGCAGCACTATTTTATAGGCACTTATAACATGAATAATTTGTGTAATTGTCATAATGCTGCTACAAAATATATGTCACTTGTAGTAAAAGACACCAACTTAGGCTCTAACATGGCAGTGTATCTAAGTAACTTAATAGGTTAGATTAGATTATATTTTAGATTAGATTATTAATCTATTAGAATAAAAACCTTTAATGTGACCCCCAGTATCCCAAATCATTTACAGATTAAAGATAGTGAAGAAGCAATACCAACCTTAAACTCTTCAAATCTTTTCATAATATTTGGGTGATTCATAGGTATTGATATAAAATGAGTCGATTTTTGTTTCATTCTGGAAGACATAACAATTATGTTTATTCTTCTTCTAGCTGCTTTTACACTCTGACAAAGAAAAAAACAGCAGGTTTAAAACATCCATGTAATAAAAGGAAAACTATACTTTGGGGGATTATAAACATCCAAAAGGTCTGCTGAGTAATTGCTTTTATGGTTTCATACCCAAAGGATGCCTACAGAACTCTATTGCTGCTTTAATAATAAACAAGTTTGCAAATTACATTTAAAAATATGTTATATTATAAATTTGTAAGACATTTATGAAAACCTTTATTTTGGAACCCCACTTGATAGATTTGGAAAAAATATTTTTTTAAACACTTACAGCTGCTGTAGAACCAAATATTGTTATGTCACCTTCTTGTCCCTGCCTTGGAATCTTTATATCTGTTCTTGTATCCCGCTCAATTCTCATTTTTATTGATCCTTTCTTTCCTATTATACATCCTAAATAATGCCTTTAAATAAAAATTAGACAACTTAGAAAAATGATTCCATCAAATGCCAGTTTAAGAAATAAATATACTTTTAATAGGATAAATTGGCTGCAGCAAGAAGCCCATGGCTATTTATTCAAATTCAACTATTTTCTTGTTAAAACAAATGTTATGATGTACAATAAAAGTTTATTATATTCTGTAAAAGATAAATCCATACAGCAAAATTCAGATCTATTTTATTTTGATTTGAGAGTGATTTAGATTATTCAAAATAGATGTTGCAGATAGAGATCTTTCATTGGGTATTAATGTGGAAGGGTGCAAGTGTGTAAGCTTATTGATCTAGAGATGTGGAGCAATTAATATTAACTTCTTGTGATTCTCATGAAAATTATTAAAGAAATCATTTACATACTGATGTAAGATAGGATTAAAGCCAAAGTATTTTTAAAAGCCTATAGGCTAGAGGGACAGCTAAGATTACAAACATTGCGACTGCTATGATGGCATAGAGGTTTGAACGGTCACTTCGCTGCTTCCTACTGCTGGGACTGGGACAACACTTTGTGTAATCAACAAATTAGTGTCCTGAGTCGGGTGTTCTTGTGTCTAGAAAGGATTATTCCTATTAGATAGGATATATTCCTAGTCCTAACACAAAATATAGCAGGGACATCATATATTTAATACTTTGTATTTTAAAGTTATGTTTGTATGTATGTATATATCCTTTTATGTATACATTTATATATTTCATTGTTTTTCCTGTTTCTTCTCATCTCTTTGCAAATGCAAGATGGTACATCCTAAAATAGTAAGTTCTATTTTTAGTGTGCCTAACTAAAGTGTTGTGTACCATTTTCACTCCTTTCCATACCATTCTATAGTAGACTGGTAGAGAATGCTTATGGTATTAGGTTTGTACAACATGACAGATAGTAAGAATAAAACAAGACTGACAATATTGACAGCATTTTCACTTACTTACTTAGAAACATGTAAACTTGTTTTATATCTAGAATTATCAACCATCACCACTTCAAACTCATCTTCTTCGCCTTCATCAAGCTCATAGTTGTATGAGTTGTCTATAAAATAAAATAAATAAAAATTTTAAAACCCCTGACACATACCTATCTTGGATTTAAAATTTGTCATAGTGTATATTATTCTACTAGTCAAGCTCATTAATTTGATAGCCATATTGAGGGAGTTTTGAAAAATATGTAATAGGCCATTTTGTGGCGGCGGCCATCTTGAACCGATTTTTGTCAAACATAGCTAAGAACACTCCCGACTAATTCACATTTCAAACTTAAAAAAACAAAACAAAATCGGTTCATCCGTACGGGGGCTACGATGCCAGAGACAGACATACACACACACAGACACATCAAACTTATAACACCCCGTCGCTTTTGCGTTGCTTGTGCCCCCACAAGCAACGCATTATACATCTTTAACTCATTACTATTTCTAAAGACCTGTATTTCTTAGCAATCTGAACATCTCTTATCAAGTGGAGCTATTAAAAATGTCGAAACATTTATTATCTATGCTGTTACTTAATAAGAATTAAATTTTAATTAACAAAAACAACAAACCAGAAAGCCTTTAATTTTGTAAATTGAAATAAGTAGCAAAACATAGTATTAACATGGCTTTTTAAAATTTACATCTAAGAAGAGCATTGTTGATACATCTACACTATTGCCTATTTTTATTAATATTAAAGTTAAATCATAACCTACAATTTTAAACTGAATCTGAAATCTTATTTAAAGTGAAATCTCATTTAAGGAATATACTTTTTTTCAATAGAAAGGTTGTACATCATACCATTTTCGTACAAATCGTATTCCTGTAGGGCAGTAATCTCTGTAGTAGGATCGTTAACTCTATAACATCTTCCTTCTATCCAGATAACTTCTGGCCTTAGAGATGCAGCCATTTTCTTAATTAACGATGCAAATGCCTTTGCATAGATTTTTTTTATTTGTCTAATTGAATTATGTTATACGGATTTACTTCAAAACTTTATTATAGACTTTGTATGTTTGTTTACAACAATGTTAATAGATGACATAGTTAGTTGACATCTTCGACACTTGACACATTTGACATCTTTTTTGGAAATTTTATAACTGGTAACAAGAACCTCTAAGGCGACAGCTGACGAGGGGAATAGCTTACGGCTTCCCTCGGGACCTTTAGTGGAAACACCACAAACTCCGATAGCGCATTAATTTTCTTTTGTTTTGAATTAGCTTTACGGATTTCAAAATTATTTTATCTGCTAACCTATTATCTCGGTAGTATTGCTTGCCGGACCCCAGGAGTATTAACTACAATCACTCATGTTGTGATCTTATATATAAATTGAAATCAACTGAAACAACAATGAAAAGACATAGGTAACTACTTTGTAATAACACATTTTACATACATACTGGAATAAATAAATCCTTAGTGCTGTTACGATAAGTTTTCAAGAGCCACTCAAGTCTTACCTTCTAGATGATAATGTTATATTTAACTGTTGTTGTGTAGACAATTGTACTACTGTAGTGAAATACTCGTCCTGTTGACCATACTCGATACTGAGGGATGGTATAAAACGGGTGAGGAGTTGCCTCAATGTACACTAGCCTCTGCGAAGAATTACACATTGTGTGTGTGTAACACAAAATATAAACAAATAATTAGTACCACCGAGAAAACTGTTGGTGTTCGTACAGCTCAGGTACTATTCCTATGTGCAGTCAAAGCACTGTCACAAAATATCACGAACAGTCGAGAAAGAGTTCCTTTAAAGGTGTAACACCGCGAATAATTTTAATTATAGTACAGGGTGGCACGGAACTGCCGGCACCCCACCTGTTGCCGTGGTTGCAAGAGGACGGGGTTGCGTACCGGCGGTGGTTGGGGATATAGCGGTCGTGGCGGCTTTTTTCACCGGGAGGCCGTGGCCACGTTCGTGACGGCGAGGGGTAGTTCGATCTTTGTCATCTCGTCCGCTTGCCCCCCGCTAACGCATCGTGTCCAAGGCTGGCGCGTCGTTGTTGGGGAGGAGAAAGGTTCGGATCACTGATATATTCGGTTTGATGTCTCCGCCAATACGAATAACGCGCCGGTCAGACCTGTTGACGTCGATGCTGAGGCACAATGGTTCCGGGAGGCCATGACTCGCGTCTGCGATGCGGCCATGCCTAGGGTTCACCCCAAACCCCGCCAGGTCTAGTGGTGGTCAAGATGAGTCAAGAGAAGCACTTTCCCGGGGCAGAGTGGTTTTGGTGGTGTCCTTGGACTTCGCCTACGCGTTCAACACTTTGCCCTGGAGTTGCATCAAGGAGGCGAGTGCCCCTCTACCTCCGCCACATAGTCGGGGAATATTTGTCTGAGACAGCCGTCGTCTACCCAAGTACGGTGTTCCACAGGGGTCGGTGTCCCACTCTTGTGGAACATCGGCTACGTCTGGGTGCTTCGTGGTGCCTTCTTGGATGGTGTCGCCGTCAAGTGCTACGTGGACGACACGAGGCAACGCTGAGGGCCACGGTCAGGGTTGCCTAAGTCGTTGAGCGGACCTGGAGGCTGGATCTGGAGGTGGCTCTACACAAATCCGATGCCTTGTTCTTCCATGGGCCTCAGAGGAAGCCCAGATGGCTTCATCTTGGATCCAGTCTCATAGTGGGAGGCACTCGCATCGGCATCTCCCTCGATGAGGTGTCTGAAGCTCGTACTCGATGGCTGATGGGACTTGAGATATAATTTTTAAGGTCAGGTCACCAAGTTGGTTGGAGCAGTGCAGGGGACCCGATGACTCCTGCGGGAGACTCTACTCGGGGGTTGTTGGTCCTTGGCCCTTTATGGGGCCCCAGTATGGGCGGGGACCCTGAGGGCCAGCAACGTCGCACTACTGCCGTAGATGGCCCGAGGTACGTCGGGGTACCAGGGATTTCCTTTCTAGGGTACACCAGTTTCCCCGGCTACTGACACCCGAGACGGCGAGCGGTTTTTAGTCGGTTCGAGTGAACATTGCCACCGGTGGGTGTGTGCTATAAATTGTGCTACAGTGGTATAAAAAGTAAAAGGGTGGCACGGAACTCCTGCGACCAAGTTATGCTTGCGAAGAAGTTGGCGCCGCGGGACCGGGAGAGGCTAACAGCACTCCCGGTCTCCCAGAAAATATTGTTATAAGATGTATTAAGCCAATCTTTTTCAATCCAAACGGAAATCATTAAAACATTGACCTGCGTGAATTCTTAAGATAGATAGATAATTTTTCTATGAATCACAAAGCCTAAAAATCATGTCTTACTTATACAGCGCATATAAGATAAAAAAAAACAACTCATGATTAAAATTAAGAACCCTAGTCTTTCGAAAGTGAACTCTAACAAGGCAATTATGACGAAGTCGTAACTACTAATAAAATTATATGTAGGCATAAGTGTTGTTGACGACAGGTTTATTACAAAACCAAGTTTCTTTTAACGCCGTTTTTTGGTGGTGTGCTGAGCTGATTTTCAAAGGTTTTCTTTATGTCGCAGTTCCTTCTTCAGGTCTGTTGTCATTAAAGTAACAATTTATCCCAAACGTAAGACCAAGACAATACCATTTCCACAATTTTTTTATGTGTAGTAACCCTCTCCGGCCGTCATCCCACCAGGGTTTGCGGCAGGGTGGTGTGTCGGAATCAGACTGACCGAAACCACACGGTGTGCCACTCTGCGCCTGAAATAAGGGGTATAAGGGGTAGTGTTGTTATAGAGACATCCGATAATGAAGAGCAAAAATTGCTAACTACGGGATCGCTAAAAAACTTGCCTGTAGCAGCATCTCTCAAAGAAAAGTAAAGTTACCGCTGAATACTGCTGCCATTGGCCCATGTTGAAATTGAAAACGTGTTTGAAATTGTAACAAACAGACATTTGCGTTTATAACATTACTTAGTTACATTAGTACCTATACTTAGCACATTATTTATTATTTACTAGCTTTAGCCCACGGCTCCGCCAGCGTGTGCGCATGCATGTTGTATGGTAAAAAATAGCCTATGTTACTCGCTGATAATGTAACTTTCCATTGATGAAAGAATATAATATAAACCCCACAATATAAATTGTAACCTTACGAAACTAGGTCACTATTAGATGGTTGTGCGGTCCATGGGGTTGTGCGGTCCATGGCCCTTTACGGGTGCCCGATATGGGCGGGGGCCCTGAAGGCCAGCAACGTCGCGATACTGCGACGACCGCAGCGAATGCTGGCCATCAGGATCATAAGGGGGTACCGCACGATCTCCTTTGAGGCAGCGAGTCTCCTGGCCGGAACTCCACCGTGGGACCTGGAGGCGAGAGCCCTTGCGGCACTGTATCAGTGGCGCAAGGAGGCGCAGGAGTTGGGTCGATGCCCCGAGATTCGAGAAATCGATGACCGGAAATCCCAACTCCGCCAGGTCATCATAGGGGAGTGGAGGGAACGACTCGGGCAACCGAGCGCTGGGCACGCCGTCATTGCGGCGGTAAGACCCGTTATGGAGGATTGGCTCGAGAGGCGTCACGGGACCCTCTCATACCGATTGACGCAGGTGATCACTGGGAAGGGATGTTTCGGAGATCACCTGTGTCTGATCCGCAAGGAGCCAACGCCTGAGTGCCACCACTGCGATGGCCAGACCGTGGACACGGCTCTCCACACGCTGGCAGAGTGCCCGGCGTGGGTTGAGCAGAGGCGAGACCTCGTGGCGGCCATCGGAGTGGGAGTTCTCTCGCTCGATAGCCTGATTGCGGCTATCGTGCGGAGCGAGAGTGCGTGGAACTCTGCCGTCTCCTTCTGCGAGCAAGTTATACTCGCGAAGGAGACGGCGGAGCGGGACCGGGAGAGGTTTAGAACTCTCCCGGCCCGCCAGGCCCGGGCACGGGCCAGGCAGCGCAGGCGACTCAGGCGCCGGAGGTCGCAGAACGACCTCCGTCCTCCATAAGCGCAGGCCTGGGGGTGACAGGTGAGGCCATCTGTCACCCTAGCAGAAGCAGGCCGGGGTGGCGGCGAGCGCGTTGCGAAGCGCGCTCGCTTCCAGGGAGCACAGGGAACATGGGGTTCCCACACGGGGCGGGGGTCGTCTACTCGTCTGTAGATGACCCGAGGTATGTCGGGGCACCAGGGCCTTCCTTTCTAGGGTATACCTGGTTCCCCGGCTATTAGTACCCGGCGAAGGCGTGCGGTTTTAGTCGGTTCGAGTCCGACATGCCACCGACAGGTGGTATCCGAGGGGATTTCCGCACGGAAAAAAAAAAAAAAAAAAAAAAAAAAAAAAAGAAGGTCACTATTAGATAAATTTATTTACCTTCTAGCTTTTGCTAATTTTTAAAATGATTTGCTAAAGAATTTTTAAAATCGTTTAAATGTTTCAGGCGTGAATGCTATCAAACAAACAAACTTACTTTCACGTTTATAATATAAAGTATGGATACCAGCTGCGCCTCGCGGTTTAATTGATGTTTACCTAGTTTAAAATTGTATGAAACTGCTTCATTCTTATTGTCCTGCCTTAATGATACTATACAGGTTACCACAATTAATGACTGCTCAAGAAAAATTTTTGAATAAATTATAGGAGCCTGAAATTAAGGGCTATTTAGTTGTACGAACACTCATATTACTAGCTTTTGCCTGATGAGGTATATTAGATTGGAAAGCATGTCTAATTGAAATGATATAATAATAAATTAACCATAATAAATCCTGCTCCTGTCTTCTGCTAAATTAGACACATTTAGAACGTTACTCACCCTACAACTCAACTATCTTTATAACCGATCACATTCAATGATGATGTACCTACTAACGAGCCTTTTATTAAGTAATAAATATAGACATGTTATTCGCAGGTCGGAATAATGATCAATATTTATTTAAAAAATGTTGAAATCACGCGCAAGGTGAACAAGAATTATAATATTGATCGTATGTAATACTGTTCTCAATGGAAGGCTAGTAGTTTCTACGAGAACCTGATAATAATATTTGATAAGCTTATCTTCAACGCATTATGTTGGTAGTCTTTATTTTTGTAAATAATACAATGTAGTTAAATGTCATTGCAGCGTGATACGGATTGGTTAGACGTTCTAAAGCAGTTTCTCTCGAAAAAATGAACAAAACCTATACAAGGCCAGTCAATACGTCATATTATAATACAAATTACAGATACTCCAATGTTAATAAAGAAGGTAAGTGGTTTTCCCAATCTTAAATGATTGAAATGTCCTAATTCAAACTGTATTTCCGTGCGTTATCAGTTAGCCATTAAGTAACTAAATACCTGACAATGTAAGTTGGTTGATGATCGAGTTACCGAAATATTCCTAAGATATGTTATATTTATATGCATATGTGTAAATACTTGCAGTCGATTCAACACGTGTATTTTTTTTATTGATGAATTTGAAGTCTTATATTGAAACCTATATCGTGACTTACATTTTTTGGTATAAAAACGATACTTTAACCTCTCACTCTTAATTCATTCATATAAAATTACTTTGTTCATACTTATTTCTTGAAGGCAAACCTTTGGACTTTGTGCCAAAAAACCTTCATCGAGAAGGAGTTCATTACTTAGGACATCATTCTTAAGGTATAAGTTCATCAGACAAATCTAATTTAGCCTGTACGTGAAAACTAGCCTAGTCAAATTTTGAGCTTGAATTACATCCCAAGTGAAATAATTGCATTTTGTAAATAATTGTCTGATAAAATTTAAGAATTTACTCGTATATTAACTATTTAAAAAAAACCTACTACCTATGTAAAACCAAGAAACGAGTAATTGTTTTCTAAATTTATTTTAGAATGTTGTAATGTTGTTCTTGTAACTAAAATTTTAGGATTTTCTACACAGAACTTGGCGCCCATATAGATCTCAAATCTTTTGTCGGCGAAGTCGACAACGACGCATATTCTTAGTATTGAACTTGGCTCTCATTTCACATTTATGTTTTTGATGGGATATCATTACCTGTTGTACAGAAATTATTAGTATCCATCATTAATATATTTTTATTTGTAAAATTACTCTATTTTCCTACGTTTACGTTGCATAGTTTTCTTTTTTGTGCTTTTTCCATATGTTTTTGCACCTTTGAAATATTAGAGGGCATTCATTATCTGCAATTTTTACACGTTTTCTAATTATTTTTAATTTGGACTTGTCGGGGCGGTATCACGTGCGCAGACGGTTGTATTCTGCTATAATAGAACTTTATTGTACCTTGATTTAACTTGGATCGAGATTTATAAGATGTTGATGATGTTGTTTTATAAGATTTTACCACGTTCCAGTTCGTAAATTAAATTATGATTAAAATTGATTGTAATTTTACGTGCATTATTGTGCTGTCGACGCCCGAATATACCTTCTCAATTTTTTAAATGGATCCCTGTACGAAACAAAATTAAACACACGATGACTTTTGACGATCGTTTTAATCATGTAAAAGGATGATAGGGGTTTTTTTTAATTTTAAAGTCGCTGGGGTCTTTGAAAACATACATAAATTGGACACAAAGAACACCCAGACTCAGAACAACAATTTGTGGATCACACAAAGTGTCGTCCCATATGGGGATCGAACCCACAACACTCAGCGTAGTAGTAAACGGTGTGGCGACCGCTTTAGTCACTACGCCCTCCGTGCAGTTTATAGGGTGCATGAAAAAGTATCGATTTGTGTTGGTAAAATCAAAAAATAAAATTACTTTTTCTTATAACATCGAAATAATTCTCGCTTTAGTGAAAAAAATTAACCATACAAATCCATAGATAGATAGAAAACCATGTATTCACCTACTTTCATGCTTAAATTTGATATTACTTTGTTGATACTAATTCTCAATAATTTTCAGTTTTTAGATTTTTCCCTTGCATATGCCTAATAGTCTACCCTGATACCAATGGGTTAGGTTTTTGATGTAGAAGTGAGTGAGTGAGTCAGTCGTAAAAATACCAGTTTTTGTTGTGTGTATGTAATGTTGGATTCTAGACCAACTTAGGGTCTGCAATAAATGTACCTTTTCATATATGTAGGTTAAATAGTTTTCGAGTTGTGAAGGGGTCAGAAGTTGCTCGAAATGCTTCGTGTACCTAATGTTACACACGACTGTTGCGACGCCAGTTCCTTTGCTATGAACTTGGCTGGACACCATTTCGCGTTCCTACAACTTGCCCTCCAGATGGCGTGTCAGTAACCGAAAGGTAATTTTGCTTAATAGATTTGTGCGAGATGTTTCAGTGGTGACAATAGTGGTATTATTTTGTTGTAAGACTTTATATCATAACGGTAAGTACTAATATTGATTTTATATTCCCAAGAGGGGTTAATCTGCATTTGAAAAAAATATATTAGATAGATGCTGTGAGGTAAACGTAATCATCAAAAACACTTTTAGTAGTCTATGCCGCCTTTTGCCCCTCTTTTCTTACTCATTGTGAGTTTTAGTCATGTCATTGTGAATAAATCGGAAAAAACTGGCAAATGAATTCGAGAAAAATATTTCTTTAATGTAATATTTTTTTCATCTATTTGTGATCATGCAGTATCAGCAGTATAGTCAACTTAATGAATTTCTTCAACTGAAATGCAAATCAACACCTTTTATACTAGAAACGAAATTCTGAATTTTGGTTATTTACATGAATGTTTTCTATTTATTGGCAGATTATAAACAAGTAAACATATTTAACAATAGCATCCCTGTAATAAACAGTCCCACTATTGGGGTCACACAATAATTTTCATGTTTGTTACCTCATAACTTTTCATTTGTAAACCGATTTGGCAAATTCTTTTTTTATTTGGAATATTCTATATAATATATATATATTATTCCCCTTTGATTCCATTTAAACGTAAACAAAAAATTACACTGCTAGTGGCGGAAAATTAAGTTATGTTGAAAACGATGTATTTTCTGGTTCAAATTTAACATGTTACTACCTTCCCTAAATGAAAATGAAATAGAAAGTGTTTATTCAGAGTTAATACATTTTTAAACAATTTTTTTACCTCTGCCAAACTACAGAGCAGTTTGTTGGAAGTTGTAGCTCTCACTTTCTCGTATTTATGTTTATTAATTACAATTACAAATTTACAATTTTAAATGACAATAATAAAATAATAACACGCAGAAAATTATAACAATAATTAAAAACTAAGTGTGATACAGGTTGGCGGTAACGGATTTATTAAACTAAATTTAATTTGCGGTTGCCTGGAAGAGATCGCAAATCGCGATAAGGTTTTCAATTGTACAACTTTTTTTATGTATTAAATTTTACTTTCTTTAGATTTAGATCATAACTTTTGTAAATTTATATAAACTGTTATGTGTCATTAGTACAATAAAGAGTTATCTATCTATCTATTACAAAACGTAGTGTTTTAAATATCGTATCTACTCATTTCAAACGTATCTTACACTTATAAGGGTAAAATAAATCCTTAAAAAAAAAGTTTAAGCTACTTCAAACAATACTGACAAAGAGCACTAAAAATAAGTATAAAAGTAATTAAAAATCTATTCGAAAAACTAAAATAAGTGTCACTCAATATTTCTAATATTATATGTTATATTGATAACAATGTAACATATATTATTAGGAATATTATATGTTTACCTTTTTTTTAACATTATAATAACAATAGATATCTTCTAGTCTGTTTGAAGCAGAGACGTATTTACCCTAAGGCTAAAAGGGCCCGAGGCGGCAGGCTGCGTGGGTTGGCGCACTTTTTTCTTTGACGTGTGTCGGAATCGAACCGACTAAAATCACACGGTGTGTCACTTAGTCTTGTGCTTAATCGGACATCTGCAGGTTTGCACCGTACTACAAATGCAATGTGCTTGTACGTTGTACAATTCGTACAACGTACTAGCACTCCGCTACTATCAGTACAGTTTTAGTAGAAGTAAAAAACTTAAGCGTTTGTATTGATATTACTGACATTAATGAAACGGAATACTAATAATTAAATAAATTAAAATACGTAATTTAAAAAAAAAAGTGTAGTAGAGTTTCTGCAGACCGCGCTTTATCTTTTTATTTTTTAATATAGATGGCTTTGTATTAGGCAGTTACTTTTCTTCAGTATAGAAATAATTGCACAGTTCTTGATTATTTTTAATGTGTTATTCCTTTCTGAATCCCATAAACCCTAACAGTTTGACTTTTAAATACGATTTTTTAGATTAGGTACTTTACACTAAATTTTCAAGCATACTATTTGATTTTCCTTCATACTTTACAACCCTTTACGTATTGTAGTACATCCTGTATCGCTGTCCCTTTTACTCTCACACTGTTTACCAATACGGAACAATAAAGCGGAGCATTAATAGTACGTCGAACGAACGAACGTAGACACTAGTAGACAGTAAACAATAGTTGACACTTTGTACTAATAGTGCCAAATGTCCGATTAACAGCTGCCTTTCTGAAACATTACTTTTAGTACAATACCCAGTACTAGTACCTATCAGTACATCGTACGTGTACTACCCAAGACTAGTGTCACTCTGCGCCAGAAATAGGAGGTAACAGCTGTTATTAAAACATCCGGAGCCCTCTTAGCGGCTGCCTGGTAAGAGCATGGATACCACCTTCATGTGAATTCTCTATTTAGTCAACCTGCAGCCACACTCAGGGCGGTATGAGGCGCTGCTAAATGCTCTTTGGGCCTTTGCTAAATTGGGCCCGAGTGGAAGTCGTTCTCCCGGGCTCCGCCGCCTACTTCTGCAAGATGTCGTCTTGATGCCACCGCGGTAAATCCGAATGAACCGTCAGTCGGAAGGAAAGGGGTCAGTGCTGCCGCCTAGTCCAAACCAATTGGCGGTTACCGTGTCATAGGAAGTTTTGCGCTTCCTTAACTCGCCCAGTAATTGTTCTGCTCTTTTTCCGTTAATTTATGGGTCGGAAACCCGGGCGGCTAAATCTCAAAATACGCCATTAATCCAATGGTGCCTAGCTCTATGCACAATAAGTAATACTGAGGGTCTATGTCAGCTTTACTTCGGCTCAATAAAGAATTAAAATTGAATATAATTGTAATTAAATATCACATTTTTTTTTTAATTAATGAAGACCAACTTGAGCAGTTACCTACGTAAACTTATCAAGTAATTAATAAAGCGTTCAAAATAATAATATCATTTGAGATATCCGTGAACCACCTTGGCTCGTTTAGCATGTTTTGCGCTGCATGAAGACCCTTTTTTTTTACGTGTGGAAACCCCCTCGGGCTGTCACCCCACCTGTGGTCGGAATCGGACCGACTAAACCCGGTGTGCCACTCTGCACCTGTAATAGGAGGAATCCGGGAACTGCTGTTATTAAGACATCCGGACCCCTCCTAGCGCCTGCCCGCAACGGCGCGGGCACCACCTTCGGTTACATTCTCTATTTAGGCGACGTCCGGCACACGCAGACATCGCCTCCACGCGGCTGGCCGTTATGGCGGGTGGAGGGGAAAACCCGTCTCATGCACCCGCGGTCACACTCAGGGCGGCATGAGGCGTTGGTAGGCGCGCCTAGGCCGCCCGGTTCGACGTCGACGGATTGGGTCCGAGTGGAGGTTGTCCTCCCGGGCCCTCTCCGCCGCCTCCTTCTGCGAGATGACATCTTCGCAGAAGGATGCGACCGCTGTGAAACATCTGTCACTACCGGCCATGGAGCATATGTCAGCCGGCAGCGAGAGATCCCCCGATGACTGCAATGAGAACCCGGCGCTACCGCGCCGGAGCTGGGCAAACTGCCAGCGTGTGCTGAGCCGATTCCTCACTGCAATCGCAGTGGTGACAGGCGGGACTCAATTCCCTCCTGGCGACCGAGTGCTGAAGCAGCCGTGCCCGGAAAGGACCTGCGTCAGCCGGAAATAAAGGGTCCTGTGCTGCCGCCCTACCCACTCGACGATGACCGGCTGAAGCGCCTCCACGGCGGCAAAGCCAGCACGTGGAGCCTCCAGCCGGGACGACCAACGAGCCATCGTGGCTCGACGAGCGGCCTCACGCCACTCGCGTATCTCTTCGGGCGGGGGCTGACTGCCACTATCCGTCCGGTACTCAGCCGTCCGCAGATATACTTCGTCGAGCACTTCCGCCTCCAAATCCCACGGGGGAGTACCGGCCAATGCGCACGCCGCCTCCGTCGAAACGGTACGGTAACGGCGTATGGCTCTAACCGCTAATATCCTCTGTGGGCGCCAGAGGCTTGCCCTATTCTGGGCGGTCAGAGACGCCGCCCACACCGTTGCACCATACATTTATGCCCTATATTTCATTTGGGCCTGAACCGGTATGAGGACCGGGGGTGGACCACGACGTGGCCCATGGAATAATAGGGCCTCCGTCTTATCTAGGGCCACCCGTAAGCCCAGCGCCTCAATGCACCCGACCATATATATCGGCGTAACAAATAACGCCGAGCCCGGGGGGGGGGGGGAGCCCGGGGGGGCATGCGTTGGCGATGTCCAATGACACAGCCAACGCACGCCGCCACGACTCACCGCCTCCTCGGTCACGGTCCTGAGGCGCAACACAGCGTCGACCGTCGAACGCCCAGCCCGAAAACCGAATTGGGCGTCCGACAGATCGGGGCCCACCTTGCACAGGTGCTGGACGATGCGGGCAGAGAGAATTCTCTCAAACAATTTACCCGCCTCATCCAGCCGATGGGCCTGTAGGCCGCGATCGAATCGGCAGTCCGTCCCGGCTTCCTTAATAGGACCATCTTCCCGCTTTTCCAGCACTCAGGAAAATGTCCGGACGCCAAGCTAGCGTTGAACACCTCCCTGAGGCGGTCTGCCATGTGGTAGAGGGCTAGGGCCAGCACTCGGGCCGGTATCCCATCCGGCCCAGGGGCGGTCTTCTTGGAACGGATCCGCAGAAAAGCCGCCTCCACCTCCGAATCCCAGATGGGTGGAACATCATCCGCGTTCTCCCCGTCGTCGCCAGCCAAGGAGGCCATCGTCGGGGGTGTGTGTTGCGGGAATAGGCCCTCCACCACTTCCTGCAGAAAGCTGGGCTCTAGAGTTTTCGTAAGGGCCCCACCTTACGAAAACTCTCCAGGGGGGGAGGGGCGACGCGCGGAGCTTTTGTCGCACCGCGCGATAAGGGCGACCCCAGGGGTCACGATCGAGACCCTCCAGCATCTCCTTTCTTTTCACTTCTTTGGCGCGGCTAATGGCCAGCTTCAGAGTTTGCCGCGCCTCTCGTCACTCCTCCTCACGAAACCGGTCCTCCTCACCCTCTTCACGGTGACGGCGCCGACTGCGGGTGTAGGACCTCCGGGCACGAGTATAGGCCGCACGAAGGTCCGCCAACTGCTTGGACCACCAGTAGACCTCTTTCCTTAGAGGCCGACGACGATGCGGGGCATGGCCGCACCGCAGATCTGCGTAATGGCATCACGAAAGCGACCAGCCCCCATGTCGACCTCCTCAGTCGGAGCCTGCGGAGACAGCCAAGAGTAAATAATGGCTGCCTCCTCTAGTAGGTCCCTGTTTAGTTTCGCAACAGCCCACCACGGAAAACGTAGAAAACGCCGCTCCACGTGACCCCTGCTGGGGTCCTAGGTCCGGGAGAGCTCAAATCCGATATACAGGTGATCCGAAAGCGTCTCAACCTCTTCCAGGACACGCCAGTTCCTTACTCGCACTTGGTAGGCCTGGCGATCTTGACACCATCCGTGGCTGCGAATATTCCCCGCAGCTTCTCAGCAAACGTGTCTGCCGTCTTTGCGCCTTCAGCCCCAGGGAACTCTAGGACTTGAGTTCCCGTCTGGGCGAGGCGCATCTTGACCCCTACCGTCAGCCGCCTCCGGGGAAATGGTGAACACTACAGCCGCGGTCTTGGGCGCCTATAGTTTTCGCGACTTTCTCTGGGTGGCCACTGCCACCGATGGCGACTGCGGGGTGGAGGCTACCTTTTGGCCAGACTTTTTACCCCGTTTTCGGGACTTCTTTGCCGCTCCAACTAAATGCCACCCATCGTTGAAGGGGGCAGATGTAGAAGAGCCAGGTGTGGGGCCAGGCGCAGGTGTTGGACTGGGCAGCGGAGGGAACTCTGCCCCGACACTTGTTGCGTTATTGCGCTAACGACATCTCCAATGAGGGGTCGAGACAACCCCGGCAATGGCGGAGGAGGAGTCCTTAAGGGCCTTCACAAATGGACCCTTAAGGTTCGTTGATTTCGTGGCCACCTTGTTTATGATGGCCACAGCTACGTTCGCTCTCTCCTGCATGGACACCGGTGCTTCAGGGACAGAACCCCCTAGCGTCGGTGCCTGAATTTTCAGCAGGAGATCCACGATTTCCTCCTCCACTATATTTTCGCCCTCCACCCTGACCCGTCTATAGGCTTCCGCCTTAGAAAAGACGGAGGCTGACTGAGCCGAGACGGGCGTGCGCGACTCCCTCTGTGGCTACTGGCCACTTTGGGAGGCAGCCACTCTTGGGACGCCATCTTCCTCCATGAAGCGTCCGCGCTTGCGACTGTCGCTCCATATCCATCTGCAACAGTGCAACGCCAACGTTTCCAGGGTGCACCACGTGGAGGTTTCCTAGCCTAGCACCCCGCTGCATGAAGACCCTTGCAGCAGCCGCGCCACCTTGAACCTAACCTATCAAGTACCTTTTTAGCTTAACACCGACTTCAAACAGACTAGAATGTATCTATTGCAATTATAATGTTACCTGTTACATTGAGGGTCGCACTTGTTATTTTTTAATTTTTAGTGCTCTTTGTTAGTATTGTCTAAAGTTAAATTTTAAAAAAAAGGATTTATTGACATACGATTTTTTGGCACCAATGCATTATAGTCGTTATCCTATATCAGCATCGTTTTTGTTTTGTTCCGTTCAAGAAAGTTGAATTTAAAGAGAATAATAAAAATTAGGCAAAAGCACAGCGATCGGTTGGAAAAACAATATATTTTCTTTCAAAATACCTCAGTACCATGAAATAAAGTTTTCAATTAATGTGTATAGGTACTTGGGAATGTAATCACACATGACTCAGAAACATTCTCTTTCATTATGGCCTCAATAAATAAGCCAAAGATTTCTCTGGGAGGACGGATCTGAATGGGGTCGAAAATATTTTAAAAAGAAAACATTTACCGGAAATACGGCATAGTTTCAATTGCCTGTTTGCCGAAGTTGCCTTTTGATATAAAGATGTCGGAATGTGTAATGTATTAGCGTTGAAATGTGTAGTACTACAACTCTAATTTTAGAATAATTCTATTTTGTTTAATACCTAAAATTTCGCGGTAGAAAATAAGTCGTCCACACTGGCAGCCCTGTTGACAACAGATTGATTACTTACTGACACTGATTAGATAACATTGTAAACATAAACATTATCAATCTTTGTTATTAATACATATTACTTCAAGAATATATTGTAACAGGCGTAAATGTAGGCATATTTATTCCTCGCAAGTTCTGATTTAGCTCTGATCACTAAAACCTCGCCTCATTGCGCAGTGAACATTCTTTATAAATATTCTCAATACACAATGTAATTTTGATTTTAAACCTACGAAGAAGTGTAAAGATTTTACAGATTTAGTTTGTATTCTTTGGTAGGTATATATTATTTCTAAAATCTGGTAAAATTAAAAGGATGGCAATAACTCACATTTTTTTTCTTAAATTACTGTTTTTTTAAACTACGAAATGTTTAGTTAATTTTAGTAAATAACTATGTCAATTCGAATGCTCAGATAAGAGCACTATCATCTTAATTCTAAAGATCGATCAATAATATTTTATTTTCAGTGAAATAAAATTAATTGTTACTGTGTTTTTTTTTTTGCAGATGGAAATACAATGCATGGATCTAGGCGTGTTATAACCTTTTGTTTGTTAACAACTGTGCTACCAACAATACTCATAATTTTACCCTTATATTTAAGAAATACGAAGTATGCAGATGTTATGTATAAAATATCAGACTCAGACGTCATCCAAATTCATAGAGGCCAGTCATCTGTATTTTGTGAAAAACATTCTTTAAAAATGAATACTACATTTAGCGCATTTCAAATGAAAGGGACTCCAGAAATATCTGGTAAAAGAAAACATATAAGAATAAAAAAGTCTATGATATTGGCAGATGACACCCTGGAATATTGGGGATTTTACTTATTGAAAGGTGCTACTGTAGAATTAGTCGCTTGTTCTCTACATAAAGGCTCTAAAATTTTAGTTGTAACTGGTGATAGAATGTTGAATACATGTGGATTACTTGAAGGATATAAACATAAAAAGTCACCACCTAGAGTAGAAAATCAAGGAGTTTTAGTCACGGTTAACAAGCCAGAAGAGTTAACAAAAAATAATGTAACACTAGCTAAGACTGTCGGTAATAAAATTTCTAATGAAGATGATAATCTGACCCAAAATTCAGTGAGAGTGAAAAGAAATATTAAAGACATACATAACCCAAACACTATATTGGATACGGGGGTTAACCATGGTGGGAATGCATTAAATAGTACCACCAAACCACAAGATCCTATATCGAGTTTTGAGAATAGTTTGCATGAATGTTTTCATGACAAGATGTTAATAAATAATCTAACTTTCCCAAACTCAATGTTATGTAACAGTACAGAATACCTGGAGAAGACGATTACTCTTAAAGTTAGTCATGAAGTGCTTGTTGATGGTTATTATTATTATATTTTTTATAGTGATCAAGGTGATAATGAGATTCATGGTATTTTTGACATCTATAAGCCAACATTCCAATATGTTAACAACTCTGAATCCAAAGTATGTATTAATAAAACTCGTTGTGAATTTAATGTAGATTTCTTTAGTGATGAGTTAGTAATTGTAGAGAAACCAACCAAAGAAGGCTTACAAAATGAAGAAAGTGATTCATCTATTCTTATATCAGTATGTCATCCTCGGGTATCAGTTTATATATTGTTCCCTATTGCAGTTCTTTTGTTAATCCTTCTATTTGCATTTTTATGATATTTGTTAAAAGTTTTATTCCATTTAATTATTGTGAACATGAACATTACCAGAAGTGTGATATTAATTTATTAAGTTTTTAGAGTTTATAAAGTTGAGATAAAAGTTAAGTACCTAGCTAGTAGATATAATATTTTAATGTTTTTTGGTGAGCAAAATTTACAGATGTATATTTTATTGTTTTATTCTTGTTATATAAATAAATGTCTAACACGCTTAAACGCTGAATTATCATGAAGTGTATCTATTATTTATCTAAGGGCATATTCATTTTTAAAACATACACACATCTTTTCTCTTTGAAGGGGTAATTAAACAGGGCAGTATTTACACGCCAACATTTTGACAGCTATCATTTTAATCCCACTGACGTAATACAATGCAATATGCTTTATTGTGCACCATAAAAATATATATCACACCCGCGACTTCGTCTGCGTGGAATTTTAATTGAAAATGTTATTTGTGTGTGTTGGTTTGATTCCCGGGCAAAATTTTATAGGGTTTAGGAAAATAGCCTAAGTTTCAGTATTATCAAAATCGGTCTAGCCGTTTTAAAGATTACCCGGAACAAACAGACAGATAGGCACACAAACAGAGCATGAAAAAAAAACTATTATTTTGACATTAACAAACACTTCAATTTTATTTATTCTGGTACAATCGGCAGTCCTATCACTAATTGCGATTTTCTCCAGACGACCTTATAAGAGTGTTAGGTATTTGTCCTTTGTCGGCATTAGTGATGCGCAAAATGTATCACTGAGCTGAAAAGATTGATATATATCATTTCGCTCAAAAGATATATATCACTCATCTAGCTCACTAGCTCATTTAGCTCACTAACTCGTTTAGATCACTAGCTCATTTAGCTCACTAACTCGTTTAGCTCACTAGCTCATTGATCCGATTCAATTGATTAGTCTCTCAATTAATTCATTTCTTCATCTAGATCGTTTAGCTCAGTATACTCGTATATCATTCACTTTAAGCCTCTCTCGCCATAGAAACCTTTCTTTATTTTCATATTAACCTAAATTCAGTTTTTGAAACTACATTTTTAACCTTTTTTTTTAAATACAATTTTATTCATTTTGATAAGATTACATAATCATTAACACCCTTTTACATAATGATTAAAAATAAGAAATTATTTCTTGTACTTTTTTTTAGGTTGTATAATAGAAATCATACATAATTTAATTTTCCTTGTACTTGGCTTAATTCTTGAGTAATATTAAACCTTGATCCTATAGAAATAATGTACATTTTGCATAAAGAAACTTGCGTGAACTCAACCATCATCTATCTCACTCATTTATCTTTAGTCTCACTCGCTCATGAAACAAAGATCGGCGTCGTTGAGCTAGTGATCTAGTGAGCTAGTACTGAGTTACTGATATATTCGAAGCTAGTGTGAGTGAGTGATACATTTTATCGTCGTGAATGGTATATTTCTTTTATATCACTCACTCAGGAGCTACACAACTCTAGTCGGCATCGAACCCACGACCTTACACGACCTAGAGGGACCTAGAGGGAGTCTGAAAGTAGCGCCACTGGATGAAAAGTTAAGAAGTAATAGGTTATCTTGGTATGGACATGTCATGCGGAGGGATGAGGAAAATGTGGCGAAGAAAGTTTTAGGTATGAGAGTTGAAGGGTATAAGAGAAGAGGCAGACCGAAGAAAAGGTGGATGGACTGCGTGAGGGAGGATATGGCTAGCAAGGGATTAACAGTGAGATGACGCATGACAGAGTAGAATGGAAAAATCATACATACTGCGCCGACCCCAAATAAAATTGGGAAAAGGGTAGGCAGATGATGATGTTTATTAATACTTTAAAAGAGGTTTTACCGTGAGTTAGAAAACGCTACTACAAAAAATGACCGAAGTTTTATATAAATTTCCAACCCCCATTTTACACCCTTAGGGGTGGAATATTCAAAATTCTTTTTTTAGTGCACACTTACGTCACCTAAGGAACATTTGTGCAAAATTTGATGCTTCTAGACATAGCGGTTTCAGCTGTGCGTTGATCGATCAGTCAGTAAATCAGTCTGTCAGTTTCTTCTGTTTTAAAAATTTAGTTATGTAAGTTACATAACTAAGTTGTTATTATTAGTTATGTAAGTTACATAACTACATTGTTGTTAACTGATTTCTGTACTCAATAGTGCCGTTAAAACACTAACTTTTTTGTAGATTAGCATTCTGTTATTAAGAATGTAGCTACCCCAATGCTATAAAGCCGTTAAATGAAAATACTACACATAAAGCGGTTAAAATCACTTAACTGCATTTTAACGTTTTATTTAAACATATATTTTTTGAGATTTTACATATTGAACAAGACATTTACGGCGTTTTCAAAATAATGGCAAAATTATTTTAGCTGGATAACTAAAATTCCGCCTATCCCACATTACGGCGCTAAATAGCCGATAACGCTCTCGCGGCGTTCGACTGTCCTATTTTGCATAGATAACGCAAGACTATATAAACAAACTAAATACAAGACCCTACTACTTGATGTCCAAATGAAATGATGCCTGTGTTCCAAACATTCTGCGAAACACAAATTCATACATCAAGTACATCTCATAGGATGCACAAAATTTACACAAAACAGTGACCACACTTAGAACTTTTTCCGAGGTAGATTCACCAATTGATTTTGATTCTGACGATTCTGCAGGTAATAAAAATTATTACCGGTCTGCGGCCAGTGGCGACTCTGGAAAATATAATATTCATGTAGTTACCAAAGACAATCAACAGCCCAAACGCGTACAAAAGAAAACAAATTCAAAGAAAAAAAGCTCACGTTCTGTTACATCAACAGCCTATAACAGTCCACTGTTGGACATAGGCCTCTCCTTATAAAGGAGGTTTTGGCCTACTATACCATGCTGGCCAGACAGGTTTATATAGGGTTTGTTTCAAGTTTTCCTTCTCTTTGCAGTGATATTGTTTGCGTAGTTTGTTCCCTTAGTCGGCTCTTACGACACTCACGGGATGAATAGGGGTGGTGACACTCTGTATTCTTAATCCGTACCCCACGGACAATGTATTCCGGATGTCCGTGTATTCTTTTATATACACTCGTCAAACTTATTCCCAGAGACGCCTCTATCTCGCGATATGTAACATGACGATTTTGCATTATTAGTGCCCGCACAGCATCAATATTTTGAGGTACAACAACCGATTTAGGGCGACCTTCTTTAAATTCGTCCGTGAGCCAAGACCGCCCTCGATTAAACTCACTAAACCAGTGAAACACAGTTGTTTTTGTTGGATCTTCGTCCCCAAAAGTCGAAGTGAGTTGATCAATGCAGTGTTTTTGTGTTAGCCCTTGCCGAAAATCGAAATAAATCATAGCACTAAAATTTTCACGATCCAAAAATAAAGACACGCAATTTTCAAAATGACGCTATAAAGGATAAACCAATGGACAGCTACATGAAACAAATTGTATTTTTATTTTGTATATTTCAACAAGTTTTTCTAATAATTAAAAAAAAAATATTCTATTTTTTTTTACTTTTAAGCCTTTAAATTTTCTTTATTGCTTGTAACTGTTCACTTGGTTGATGTTATACGAGTATTATTTTTTTCATTGTGCTTGCTGTGTGTGTGTTTCCAAGTTTTCCTTCTCTTTACAGTGCTGTTGTCCTGCGTAGTTTGCTCCCTTAGTCGGCTCTTACGACACCCACGGGATGAATAGGGGTGGTGACATTCCGTGTTCTTAATCCGTCGCCATACGGATTGCGTAAGTCTCTCTCACTTTCTAAACAATATTACCTCAAGTCACGACTCAAAATATTCCAAATTTTACTAACACTTGCTTGTGTATTTCGGACAAGATCATTAAATTGTAGTCAGTCTAAGAAAGCTACATCGACGACAGTCGACGAAGAATTACCATTGACACAATCTCCAATGCTTTAAGTACTAATCAAATACATTTTACAGAACATGAACTAGAAACAAATATATTGCAGCCTGTAACAGCGCAATTGCCATCAAAACGTAAAAGATTGGCATATCTTTGCTTCTTCACGTTAGCGAAAAATTGATGCTAAAAATAAAAGAAAAGAATTGAACACACCGTTAAAATGGAATGCAGTGATAAATGCCTCAAGAAATGCATTTAAAAAAATTACACCAAGAAGAGCGAGAACACATTATTGAAATGTATTGGAACATGACTTGGCAAGAGCAGCATTCATTCGTCGACTCAAATACAACAATAGCAGTTCCTAAAAGGAAGTATAGCACCGAAAAGAGTTTTTACATTAAAAAAACATGATGATACTCGGCTTGAGGTATGCAAAAAAACTTTTTCTATGTTAATTAGAGATAGTAATTATTAGAACTTTGTTTGTTTTTCTTTTTTTTTCATATATTTTTGAAATATATATTATTTTTAATGTCTTTATAACAATTCAGAAGACTGTTTAATGTAACTTAAAATTTATGTGACTGATTTGAAAGAAAGCTGTGCTTAAATATAATAATTTTTTCTTTAGATTTATTAAAGCTACATTGTGCCTAATGATTGACATACTTACGCTTTTTGTTTTTTCTTTTTTGTTGACGGGGTGGAAAATTTCAGTCAAAATAGTTGTTTTGTCAAAGTAGTGTAAACGTTCGTGTGATCTCATTTTCCTTAAATATGTTTAAAAATATTGTTTGTAAGAAGTTAGTACTACAATTATGTTATTTTATGAAGGATTACACACTGTTAACTTATATCCGTCGAGGTTTTGTATTTAACTGCATTTTATACGTGTATTCTAAATATGATTTCAATCAAGAAACCAATATTAATTTATAAGACTTTTAATATTAGTCTAAAACGTAAACACGTGGCAAACGTATCAAAACCGCTTTTTGATCATGACCAAATCGCAAAAAATATTACAACAATTCCAAGCTATAACTTGATTATGTGCTACGAGTATAACGGCATTTTAGTTAAGTAATGATCGATAAATTTACAATAAAAAGAATTATGTAATAGTTACGAAGACATACAAGACAAAGACGCCACGTTAAGCTACCCATAACGTCGTTTTAGTATAGTATTCAATAGCATAACTTTTAATATAATCTGACTATAACGCCAAAATAGGATTTTAGGATTATTACATAAAGTCAATTAATTCGACTATACTATCATTTGATAGTGTTTCAAAATACCGATCTTGCCATATCAAAATATCTCTAATAGGTGTAATAAACATCAAGTTGCATGAATTTAAAAATTATTAACATTTAAGGTATTCTGAAAAAAGATCCTTAAAGAGGAGGAAATTTCCAAAAGAAAAGTGCCGACCCCTGGTACTCTACCTCTATTAGAAAAACTTGTTGAAATATACAAAATAAAAATACAATTTGTTTCATGTAGCTGTCCATTGGTTTATCCTTTATAGCGTCATTTTGAAAATTGCGTGTCTTTATTTTTGGATCGTGAAAATTTTAGTGCTATGATTTATTTCGATTTTCGGCAAGGGCTAACACAAAAACACTGCATTGATCAACTCACTTCGACTTTTCGACGTTTTTTGTTAATAATTTTTAAATTATTAACAAAAAACGAAATGCTTTCTTTTTTAATCCTAATTTGTTAACAATAGGCTAGTTGACCCAATTTAAAAACTTGGTTAATAATATACTTTAATATCTAATTTATCCTAAAAAACCTTTATTTTAAAGAAAGGGCAAAATTTATACAACGTATTTTGTATTTAAAAAAACAATTTAAATTTCCCTTGAAAACGCTGAATAGTGTCATGGCGTCTTGAATGACGTCACAGTCTGCGAAACAAAACTATTAAGGTGAAAAATGTGCTAAAAACGAAAGACTAAGGAGTAATCTGCTCTGTTTTGCGTGGCGTGACGTAACTGAACTTTCTGATTGGTGTTCGCTGTCACGTGACTTCATGCCTATTGTTTTGTTCGATTTTTTTTTTAATATTAATAATCTTTAATTTTTATGAGAAATAGACTGGTTATATCTTATCTTTGTCTTCATTTATAATTTGAAACTATAAACCAAGCAATTTGTTATTAGTGGACACAAGCCTATAGTAATTTTTTAAACATACTTTCGATACATTTTTCTAGACGTCATTCCGAATCGAATGAGCCATCGTCATATTTTTAGGAGCTTTATCAAGAATTAACATGTTTTTGAACTTGTTGACTAGCCTAACTTCCAAAATCACAGTGATCTAAACTTCCGATACCTACCTACTCACTAATCGTTCCTACTTCTTTTGGCCATACGAGCGGCACTAACAACTTATGTAGCGGCGGAAGGTCTCGCGAACACGGATCTTTCTCTAAAAGTGAGAACACGAGTATTGTCTTTGCGAAATAAAATGCGAACTACCTGCCTAAGTGATGTGAACTTTCTATTTCAAACGGTAGATTGCCTTCTTTTAAAGGCTGATCACCCACCGATTCATCACTAATCTAAGGATAGCGTTAAAGTAGTAGGTATGCCGAAATTACGTACGAAATTGTACGAACCTAGCATGATTAAAGCTGTTTTCGACATGGTAGACAGTCACTACTAGTGATGTGCTGAGTCGCTGTTTTGGTGGATCGAATCGACTCGAGTCGGTTTATACGGTATTCGAATCATGACTTGATTCCGCGATTCGAGCCCAGTACTCGAGTTCTATGTTTGGTATTCGAATGTTAACTCTAGTCCAGGACTCGAGTCTAGAAATTCGAGTCCAGAACTCTAGTCTGGAAATTCGATCTAGAACTTGAGTCTAGAACTCTTCTCCCCTGGAATAGGGCCTGATTAGGCAATTAGGAATGGTGTCAATTCGGGGAGGACCTGAAATAACATGGTCCGGGTCCTCCCCAGAGTAGGACACCTGAGGCCGGCCGTCGGGGTGGTTTTTAGTTGAATCACCACATACTCCTGGCCCATAGTCTCCGAGGAGCAGGAGATCCGAAGGGATTTTCCACCCCAACAACAAAAAAAAAGCTTAAGTAAACAGATATCGTGCACGAGCGAGTCAACCTAACTCGTATGCTAGATTCGAGTCACATGGAATCGCTAAACAGAATCGAGTCAGCGAGTACAAATTCGATTCTTCCTGACTCGAGTACTCGAATCAAAATAAATTGGTATTCGAATAAGCGAGTCTAAAGCAGGAATCGAGTCAAGCCCTACTCGGCACATCGCTAGTCACTACAGAGTCTATGCAATGGACTCTAGTACACCCTAGCAAGTCCTCGAGAGCCCCGATAAACCACCGGGTACGTTCCAGCCTGCAGATATTAAAATTTCAAAATAATAAAAATCTCATTTTATAGATCTCAATTAGCCCTTTCGACCTACGTTAATTAATTTATAAGCCCGTTTTTCGTTTTCCCAGGAAAAATAGAAATATAATTTTCAATTTTCCTCTACTTAAAATAGCCATATCTCTTTGAAAAATGATTATTTTTTACTCTACCAAGCGTGAAAAAATTGCCCTTGCGCTAATTTAATTTGCCCGCATGCTAATTCTTAAAAATATTCAATAATTATTATTGTAAACAATAAAAAACCGTCGTGGCATTTCCAAGCCATTTATTTGCGCATTGCGCATGGGTTTGCCCAGAATTTCTGCAGATAGCACAAAATTCTCGGTTTGTCTGGACTTATGCTTATAATGATTGCATTATAATATATAGCGCACCTTTAGTAAGACAAGGCATAATAGGACTTTTTGTAATGTTACAGGCGGCTTTAATTTTTTTTTTATTTTAATAATATTATAAATATATATTAGCCTTGTTATATTGCCTTCTGGAAAAAAAAATAATGTCACCTGATGGCAAGGGACTACCGCCGCCCATGGACACCCGCAATTCAAAAGTGCGTAGTCGCCCTTTTAGTCCCTTCCCGTCATTATCAGGACAGGTGTTTGGGCTCTGGTGTAACCTAATTCACTGTTCCACAGTGAATTGCTTAACAATGGTTGTCTGGGCAGGTCTAGTCAGGCCCATATATGCTGAAGTGTTTGTTTCATGTGGGGATATTTTCGAATTCCTTTGACTAAATAGCGGAGTTTTCATTTTTTCATTTATGCCTGTCATAAAAGGTACGATATACATATACAGAAGTATAATTGCAGAAGATGAAGGTAAGTGAAAATGCAAGCTTCATAGGGGTAGTTAGTGTGAGTTTTAAGAGTTAAGACACATTGAATTTGTCATGTATTTATCTGAATATTGATCGTCACAAAGCGTACATAGGCTTAAGTTAACATATGGTATTAGTCAAATTTATTTTGAATAGATTATTTTCAGTACTTATATAAAATATTATGTAAGCATAGGAACCTTAATTATCATTTTTGTCAAAAGCCGCTATTACTTCGAATAAAATTTATTCCAAAAATATAAATAATTCGAAATGAACATAAAAACCATGTAGAAAACAATCTTTTAAAAAGTAAAATGCTAAAGCAAATGTAAATGGGAACACAGGATACAATAAGGACCTGTCAAAAGAAAGTAATGAACATATTGGGGAAATTTTGATTTATTATTTCCACATAGTTGTGTCCAAAGTGCGTTTCACAGGCTCAGTGGGTAGTATTTCTGTAAAACAAAATTTACACAATTCAATACAATGGATTCAGAGAAATTAAGGTTCCGATCGGGAATGGAGCGCTACAATTTTGTTTATCAATAACAAATACAGATAGGATATTTCATTATATTTATTAAGGGTATTACAAAAACAGTTACCATATTATGTACAACTGGAAAAGTTACAATATCGAGGTTTTCTTCTAGAACTTTTGTGATTGAAATAGCCTCTCCAGTACCCGATGAGACCTCTGTGCAAGCGGCAGAGAGGCCTGCGCGGAACGGGGGCCATCCGGCCGAGCCGGCTTACTCCTAACTATGTATATTAATCTTATATTGATACGTCTATTATAGTATAATGTAACCATTAATTAAACTAAAAACGATTATATCGGTCCGAACGAAATGAGTTCCAATGAAAATTCGGCACAGTGGTTATTAGAAGGCTCCTCCTAATACACACACCTTATAAATATCGCAATAGAACGCAGGACACAAAGTATAAACCAGGAAAGCGCAGGCGCCTCAGATGAGGTTGGCCACATCGCTGGGCATTTCCGAGATGCTTGTATGATAAAATTCCTCAATATCCTTAAGTGCTCTTCTGTCTGCTTCAGTAACAAAATTAATAGCGATGCCCTTACGGCCGAAACGTCCACCTCTTCCAATTCTGGAAATAAGAAACAAAATGTGTTAAGCACTTGATAATTCACCACATACATTCCTAATGGATCTCTTTATGATAAACCTATAACAACATGATCTGCAATAGTGGTTTATATCAGATTTTTGGTATAAAGTGAACCAAAGCCTACTACCTACCTACTACACCTTAACCCATTTACGTTCCTTCTTCTCTGATTCCTTAGCTTTGTAGCAAGGTGTTATTGTAGTGTATTAACCTTCCTCAAGAAATACTCTAGCTAACACAAAAAGTTACTATTTAAATGACTGATATTTCAAGAAATATAGTATTTCTAATTTTGAATGGTGTGATATTTTTCAGTAAATCAGTTGTATTGATGATAAAACATTTACTTACCGATGAATGTAGTTTTCACGGTTAGTGGGCAAATCATAATTAATGACGCACGAGACTTGTTGAACGTCAATACCACGCGCCAGTAAATCTGTAGTGATCAGGACACGAGAAGATCCAGTACGGAACTGTCTCATAATCACTTCACGCTCACGCTGATCCATGTCACCGTGCATAGCAGATACAGTGAAGTCACGTTCATGCATAGACTCAGTTAGCCAGTCCACCTAGAAATAATCAGTTAAATTATAGCAAATTGATAAAAACTGGTGTTTATGTACATTGTTAATTGTTTCAAATAATATTTGATTACCTTGCGACGAGTGTTACAGAAAATTACCGCCTGGGCAATTGACAGTGTATCATACAAATCACAGAGAGTCTCCAGTTTCCATTCTTCTAATTCAATGGCAATGTAAAATTGTTTGATGCCTTCCAATGTGAGCTGAAAGAAACAAAATACAACATGATACAACCAGATTTTTTTGAAAATAATATGTCATGTCTAACATTCTTTTTACTTTGATAATTATACAGACATCTTTATTTACATTGTTGGTCCTGCCTGGGCTAGATCTTTCATTATTGTTTATTTTTATTTTAGCCATTCAAATCACCATCACCCTTATATGTCATATTTAATAAAAAACATTGTGTACTTTTAACAGAAAGCATAAATAATGCATCATTATTTGACATCCTACATGATAAAGTTGTTGACAATTTCCCATCATTGCTAAATACGTCCATTTAAAAAATTTATAATGACTGCCAGCATGTCTGGTTTACTATAAAGTTACAATTTTTTATATAATTTTATTTTTTTATAAATAAAAAATAGTAGGGGAGCCCACAATGCTAAATGTGGATTTACTAAAGCATCAAGGGGGCCTATTGCATTTGAAAGATTAGGTAATAAAAGTTATATAATGTATCCAATTCAACGGTGGCAAAAGCTTCTTAAAGTTTTAAAAAATGTGAAGGCAAGAAATCGAAAAAAAATATTCCGGCGCATCAGTTATTTTGTGGATTTGTTATTTGGATGCCAAAAATTCTCACATTGAAAGCTCTGAAAATTTTAAAGTGACACAAGCTCATAGCGAATTATCGAAAACGCCAACTGCAATTTTCAAAAATAAGGTGAGTTGTCAACTTTTTTTTTAACTAATCTGTTGGGCTGCCTTAGACGTTCCCCTCTATGTGAAGGGCTCATGTATGGTGAAGGTAGTCAACTGGGTGTAAGGTATTCCTCCTATCTTAATCTGACATGCTCAAGTAAATCCCGAAATTCCTTCTGCCCCTAATGAAATGTTTAATAACAAAGTTGCCAAATAGATGAATTGATTTAAACCATAAAATTAAAGGAATTCCAATCAACTATTTATTCTATGTTAGATGAAATCAGCAAAACAAAACATTATTGGCTAATGTAAAAACCTCTAATGATAATTACATTTAAGTTGTATTTGCAGAAATAGGAAGATAAGGACTGTTCAACAAAACTGAACCAAAGTAGCACATGGTATTTTAAAATGTAACTAATCATTGTGTTGTATCATCTTCAAGAGCCTTCAGTAATTCAAGTTTTGATATGAAATATTTTATGTGGTCGGTTAGACCAGCTCTTGGCGTTGCAACGTGTCGCCACACTGTGATAGTATGTGTAACATGTAATGCCGCAGTGTGGCGACGAATCACCATGCACAAGTGACTTGGCTCATTATTTCTACAAAATAATTTCTATGTTTCACATCTGACAGACATCCTATGATGGCTCAATTTCTTTTGTATGGCATACTCAGCCTTATAATATACATAATTTATCATAATAAACTACAAAGAATTAGTGGTTGTCCTTCTATTAAAATGATTACAAACAATTACAAAGATAGAATAATCTCATACAAGAGTATAATAAGTTCAAACTTCTAATAAATAAAATAATGATAAAAGTTGAAGCACATGGTGTGTTATGTTATGTATACTTCATAATAAAGAACTTTATACATAATAATATATATTACCTCTTCTTTTTGAACAAGAATTCGCACAGGGTCTCTCATGAAGCAACGGGACACCTCCAGCACATCATCAGGCATTGTAGCAGACAGTAATATAACTTGTACGTCAGCAGACAACATCTTGAATACATCATGAATCTGATCTTTAAATCTGAAATTACGACACAACATATTAAAAATATTCTACATATAGAAGTTCTAAGAAGTTATTATTATTATTTAATCAATAGCATCTTTTTGATGAATAATGTCAACAGTTACATCATTGTTGACTCATTAAGCCAATCTTTTTTAAGGGTATTATTAGTAAACACAACTTTATGGTATTGTATTAGTAAAAAAAGATAACTCACCCTCTCGACAACATCTCATCAGCTTCATCAAGTACAAACAGCTTGATGGTGTTAGCTCGCAGTGCCCTGCGGGTAATCATATCGTATACACGACCTGGGGTTCCCACCACCACATGTACACCACTCTCCAACTGACGTACATCCTCACGCACGTTGGTGCCGCCAATGCAAGCATGGCACTTGGCAGTTAAATGATCACCAAGGGCTATCACCACCTAAAATTACCATCTTGTTAATTCCAAACTAAAGGTTAATCACCAAACACAAACACAAAAACACCACGACGTTTCCGTACCTTCTGAATTTGTTGAGCCAACTCTCTGGTGGGCGCCAAAATGAGAGCTTGGCATTCACGAATCGTAGTATCAATTTGTTGTAGAATTGAGATGGAAAATGTAGCAGTTTTGCCAGTACCAGACTGGGCTTGAGCTATTACATCGCGTCCTTGAATGCACGGCATGATGGCGCGTTGCTGAATAGCAGATGGTTTTTCAAAACCATAGGCGTAAATTCCTCTCAGCAATTCTTCTTTCAAATTCATGTCATCAAAGCTTTCCACGACTTGATGCCAGTTGGTATCCAACGCCCCTTCAGGGTCCGTAGGATTTCCATCGTAACTTCCTTGATCTTTGGATGGCCCATTTTTAGAATCTTCCGGCCACTCCTCTGATCTGTAAAAGAATCCATGGTTTAAATTAATATAAAAACACAAAATTATTACAAGCAGTTCTTAATTTAAACTTCTATCGACTGCTACAAATTAGCAAAATTACAAATCATCGCAATTTGTAACAGAACAATTCTTCTGAAAAACCTAGAGTAAAAATCCAATATTTTTCAAAACAAATAGAGAAAAGAAATTGCTATTAAAGTACCTTATGCTTCCCAACATTTTGAGCAAAAATGTTCCTATGAAATACCATGTAAAACACGTGTGTCAAATCAAACTTGTAATAAATGTATTCCTACCAGCGCCATGTTGGCAATCGGCGACAGGGAGATGGTAATTATCTTGCAAATTTTAACAAATACTGTGTAATAACTATATCATGAGGGAAATTTGATAGGTTCATGTTTTAGGTATCACACAAAATAGAAAAAATCACCAATATCTAGCATTAGAACTCAACTTACCTTCTTTCTGGTGAATAAGACATGTTACAATCGCGGTAGCTGAACGGAAAAGAACTAGTAATGCATATGCAAGGTCAAGTTATGTTAACAGTAGCTTTTTTTATGGGGTTTTTGAAAATTGATATTTTAAAGCTCAAATTCTTACACCACAATTTTAGTATATTTTTAAACGAATTTCAAAAATGTACTGAATCAGTAAAAGATGTACAATTATAACAGGCGAGTTACACAAAATTATTGGGAAATAAAAGAGCGGATGTAGATCTATATTGTTTATGGACATATAGACTTTTCAGCCGAAGCTCAATAATCTTAGTATTGATCTGTTGTCTATGGCTTTTTTCAATGTCTGAAATTATGCCAAGAATAATTAAAATAAAATGATCTAAATATATTTTGTGTATTATATCTTAATAAATTCTGGGTAGCCTATAAACCTATTATTTTAAATTATCGTGGTATTGATACATTATTCTGATCTAGAAGTAGGTAAGTAGTTGCCAGTGCAGGTCCGCTTCCTTTTTGGATTCTACATGATTATTTATATAAAATCGATTCAGTATAATAATCACTTATTTCTTTAATATCATTAGGGTGTCCCTGTCTTATCGTTATAATGTGAGTATATCCCTTAAGATAAGATAAAACGTGATCAGTCAGTCTCAAAACATAAATTAACTAAAGTATTTCAAATAAAACATATTTTAAATAAATGTACTATTTATACAAAAAGCCTAGACTATATAAAAATATATAAATTTTACTGTAGACATTTCATTAAAATTTATTTACTGATTTCTCTTTAAATAGAAAATTAAATAAATACTCTAACACTAAAATACCTTCTACTACTTACTTTCATAAATGCACAAAACTGTAAATAAGACGAATAATTCTAATGTCTGCAACGCGTTTCTGACTCCTGAGTTGCACGCGTTCATGAGCAGTGGTGGCCACTTTCCATCAGGTTACCCGTCTGATCGTCTGGTCCCTCTAACATTTTTTTTATGTGTACCAAGGGGTACGGTACCAACTTGTACTACTACTACTAATATCCATTGTACATAATACATTTTGTCATTTCAAAAAAAGTTTTTGAACGTACTTAAAGTTAATAAAAAGTGCTATGGATCACCTCGTCAACCGCCTATAATATATGTCACTTGAAATATTTTGCTTCATTTAAAAGAGCAAATAATATATGTTTGACCCATTTTCATTAAAAAGTAATTTTGCTTGAGATGAAGAGGTGAACTTCTCTCAAAAACTGCATTTTGACTACACATCCAGCTTTAAATTCGTTAGTTTCGGTTTATTAAATTTGACGAAATTCGAAAAGCCCAGGATTTTTTTTGTCATAGTTTAATTCATTGAATCATCATCATCATCAGCCTATCGCAGTTCACTGCTGGACATAGGCCTCTCCCATCGCACGCCACTTAGATCGATTTTGGGCTCAAAATAATATTTTGAATACAAATTATATTTAAGAAAAACACAGATTTTGGACTTATTTATTTTCTTGTTTTAGTTTTATTTTTGCATGGTAACTCTGATATGTTTTTTTACGATACCTAAGGTCTTTTGATCCTACTTAGTCTTTGATTTTGCCATAAATAATATTCAAGTTCCTTATGTTGGCCAATATCTTTTCCGGTCTTGTCTATGCCCTCGCTGCCATTTTGGAGATTTTGAGACGGCAGTGCTTTTTGTTCGTGTGAAGCGCTTGCTCGTTGTGAGGAGTAAATTGTGTTTTAGTCAAGTGTAGTTTTATTTTTAGTCGAACTTAACCAAAATGAGCTGGCAAGATTATGTCGATAAACAGTTAATGGCATCCAGATGTGTTACAAAAGCTGCGATTGCCGGTCACGATGGGAATGTCTGGGCCAAGTCAGAAGGCTTCGAAGTAAGTTTTTTCTCTGTCAAGTTTTACGCGGTCAGTGATATGCAGTTTTTTCCATTTGCTGTGAATTATAGTGCTAAACCATGGTGATGAATAGTGCAATACCTAACAGGCTCAAAGGATGACGAATTCTTTATTCGGCAAGTTTGACAAGATGGCGACATGTGGTGGGAGCCAGCGATTCCAATTATTGTAATTTTTGTCTACTATTTTGCTTATCTCGTGGTAAATTAAGCTAGACAGAAGTATCACACACTTTCACATAAAAATCTTACACTATCTTCACGTTAATAGTAGCAGTAGAATTGTATTATTTGCCGGCCGGTATTTTTTAAGTTTTAGCCATCAAGTCGCATTCCGAAAACTTGTCGGAATTACTGAGCCACTCGAACATTTATCACTTTATATGATAAAATTCCTTATTTAGTAATGGGTTTTTCATGACTTGTTTGTATATTAATTTAAACTGCATTTGAAGTCCTTGTTGGGACTCGTTCTTTTACTCATGTTTTAAAAAGTACTTTTAAGGGACGCGTTTATCATAATTGCTATGCTGTAAGTGTGCAGCACGACAATATTAACAGTATTAAAACAATCAGTATATTAATTATCATAACTGTGCTAAAATTTTAGTAAAAACTGTTACGATTTTACCGTATAAGGACGTCAAACACCTTGACGTATTAAATCAATTTATTGATTCATTCATTCATATGAAAAATCATTGTTCTAGCGCCTGTATAGGCCAACTTTCAAAATTATTTTTAAGAATTATCATTGTTTATTAATTTTACGTTTTAGATATATTATATACCTACTTAAAATTAATTTTATAAAGTACTATTATTTCAATGCTTGCAGTGATTTTCATTATTTCTAACATATCGATTTGCTTTTTCAGATAATATATTTTATTGCGGTTTGTTGTAATTTAATACTTTAAGGAATGGATTGAAAGTATTTTTTTTTTTTTTTTTTTTTTTTTTTTTTTTTTTCCACATTCACACAACGCCATCTAGTCCCAAACTAAGCAGAGCTTGTACTATGGGTACTAGACAACTGATATAAATACATATATACTTTTTTTTTTTTTTGTAAATACATACATATTATACATAGAAACACCCAGACCAAATCAAACATTAAATGTTCATGCACACAAATGCTTGACTTGAGCGGGACTTGAGCGGGAATCGAACCCCGGAAATTTAAAGTCAATGGATTAATACAATTATTTACCATAGTTCTCCTTAGTTGAATATGGTTTCGCTATCGAGTTGATTTTTTTATAATTCATTTATTCGATTCTACATCCTACATTGTCTTTAAATCAGCAGTGATCATATTAGTTACATTTTCTAAAATACGTGATTTCGGATACAGATATTAAAAGAAGAAGTCGCGAAGATAGTGGCCGGCTTCGACAATGAATCACTGTTAACGAGCGGCGGCCTGACGATAGCAGGCACGCGGTACATCTACCTCAGTGGCACAGACCGCATCATACGCGCAAAACTCGGCAAAGTTGGCGTGCACTGCATGAAGACACAGCAAGGTAGGCAGCCACAACTATTATGTATGACAGAAACACGTAATAGATTCATCATCTAAGTATAGGTACAGGTATTTGACCTTATCTTTGATATTTGGTCCAATTATGCACTTCTTTTGCTTTTTTTAAATTTTCAGACATGTTCAAGTTTTTTTCAAGTTCAACTTTACTGTATAAGGTATAGATCTAAAATAACCACAGTGAACTGTGAATGAACGGTGATTTATCATTCGATTTTTTCGTACGTAGGTTAGGGTTACTAATTAGTGTTGTTGCCAATAAACTGTTTTCTGAAGTTGCATAAAGACCCTGTTTCGCATATTTAACAGTAAATCTAGTAATTATTTTAATAAATATAGCTACCATTCCTTACATAATAATTACATATAAAGACTAGCGTCTAACCTACCTAACTTACGTACGCAAAAATAGACTAAAAAATCACAGTTCTCTGTGATTTTGTCCTACGTCTAGTATAAGTAGTACGCATTTTCGGATCAGCACTTCACATTACTCTTTAATTTGCTCTTATTCAATTTTGTTTTATTGGTGATGGTTTCGCATTAATCGTCAAAAAAAGATATCAACACAAGTTAAACACTCACTTGTTACTATACTTTGTTGTCCTGGTTGTGATTCTTGACATGTTGAAAATTCAGCATTTGTTTGGTTCGGTTCGATGCAATCATAGAATACTACAATAATTCATCTATGTATATTAAAATCGGCTCGCTTATGACGTGCGGTTTTAGTCGGTTCGAAACCGATGTACACCCTTGGTTTCGGTTAGATGATAATCAGTTTTAATAAAAAAATTAATAAAATTAGGGGTTTAATAAAAAACGACTCTAATTTGTCCCCACGTAAAAAGAAAGAGCTGTCTTCTATTGTAAGTCCAGATCTATGTTGTATATTATACAACTTTTATAGTTGTTGTCAATGTAAATTGGCTTAAAGCTATACTCTTAATTTAGTTGTCTACCAACTTAAGTATTTAAAACGACGAAATAACTCATTCGATTATTATTTATGTTATTCTATGTAGATGCATATAATATATGATTATAGGTATTAGCAGAATCTGTAGATCTGTAATCTGCAGAAATGTATCTTAAACTAACACTACCAGTTTCATGCATCATACGACTTGTGGTTCTAGTGCCCCACAATCATGATGTAACTGTAAATGAAATTGAAGTAATATTCACTGAAACTTCATGTGCATGTGTTCATTACGTAAGAATTGTCTTACCATAACATAAGGGAAAGTACTTGAACACAATTGTACGTTGGCGAAAGTGATTATAAGACACGGCCAAATTGTACATAATTGTACAACGGCTAGTTCATTTTAACAATTTGTTGCAGCCGTCGTAATTTCTCTGTATGAAGAACCCATCCAACCCCAGCAAGCTGCATCTGTAGTTGAGAAGTTAGGAGAATATTTAATGACCTGTGGTTATTAGAGGTGAGTTTCTGAATGAGGCTGAGATCATTATTAACAGTATTTTTTCATTCTTTGACAGTGAAATATATAAAGCTCATGCCGAGTTTTTTTTACTTTCAGA